AATCACGAACTTGAGGACCATTACTTAATGTGCTGGTTGAAAAAAAAAACGAACAAATAAATTTATTTGAAATCGGTATAATTCAGCAGCTCATGATAAGTGGCATGAACAAAGCAATGAAAATTTGTTTGTGCCTATAAAAGTGGTTCGGTATACAGAAACACGTGTTTTTCACTTCGAAAAGTTTGTCGGCTGGCACAGGTGGAGAAGATCCGGACCATGATGAACTTGCAGATGGAGAACCAGACCATGAATTAACCGTAGTTCCTTGTTATTATTTTCAACTGTGCACCATCACCACAAAATCATTTTTTCTCCCAGTCGTATGGATCGGTGAGTTTGCAACCGCATGTAGTGGCCGAAGTTTTGAGCAACTCGTATATGTATGAGTAATCGATGCGATCCTCGTAGTGAAGCGCATCGATGTAATCCATAATTTTGCCGAATTCCTGCGTGCATTTCAGTCCACGGAACAGCTTATCACGATTTGCCCGGCAGTTCTCTTTCATTTGCAGCACCAGTGCTTTATCGGCGGTTTTTTTCCACGGTAATCCGGCCGCGATCAGCAAATCGAGTAGCAGATAAAACCACGATTCGCAGTCATCCTTGGGACCCAGCTCTTTCCGCTTGTGACATGCTATGGATGCAAATTTCACGGTTCCCTTGAAGCCAACCGTTACCCGGGGTGTCTTGATTTCACCCTTGTCGTTCAGGATACGTCGTGCAATGCCGAAATCGAGGATATATATACATCGTATTTGCTTGCCGATACCGATCGCGTAGTTTGCCGGTTTCAGATCCCGATGAATGAAGCCATACTTGTGGAGATCCTCGACCGCCTCCAGGCATTGCATCCCGGCACCCAGCCCTGTGTTTGGAGAGAATACTTTGCGCGGTTGGGCTGCTTTCAACTCGGCAAGCGATTTCCCGACGAGTTGCATGACCAGGAAGAAGAATCGTTCCTTCTTTCCGCGGTCGATGATCTTCGTAAAATGCGATTTCTCGGCCCGTTCCGCTGCGACAAGCTTCAGAATGGCGATCTCCATTTTGAGTTTCGAGTCCCGGCGTGTCTCCAGCTTCCGCTCCACTTTCAGCGCATAGAGCAGGCTCGGATTGGCCGCATCATGAACCTGGTAGACCGCACCGAAACCACCTTCGCCGAGCATCTTCTCAATCACATACCTGGTGTGCGAAGACTCAATCACCGAGCCTTCCCTGAGCTCCTCCGTGTCATCATCATCATTCTCGGCCATCACTCCGCAGCACTTCGTCCAGTCAGCAAGCGATTAGTTTTGTGCACTGCTGGTTTTTCGTAGATTCTCTTCTTTTATAAGCTCTGCCGCCCACCACCTCAGATGCAATTATTCAAAATTTTGCGGAATTTGCACCTTTTTTTTTGAAAAAATTTGCATATCCCACAAAGGCAGCAACTGCGGGCAGGGATGCTATAAGGTGTGTAAGAAGTCGAAGGCTAAAACACGCCACGTGTTTCAAAGGTGGAATACTTGAGCAGCAGCTGTATGTCATCGACGTTCGTTGTCACGCCATCAGTGCAGCTGGCAATTTCTCCAATTAACAGAAGAAGCACTGAGAATAAATGGTTCGATTCCAGCTTCGCTATCGACAGTCATTTTGTAAGAAAGGACTCCGTTCACGACATTAGTGGCATGTTTTGATGCAAATGTTAAAACTAATACATGTGATGAAGCAGCAGGCAAGCAGTACTATAATCTACCCGATGGCATGGCGGGATGTGTTATTATAAAACTGTGTAAAGACTTAGCGAATTTCTAGGTGCCGCTTTATATAAATATGGATGATGTAAGCGAACATGATCCAGCACTGTATCTGTCAATCCAACAGAATGCCAAGCGTTATCATCAGCTTTTTGGTGATGTTGTTGATTCGCTTATTGTCAGGAAACTGGGTGATCGAGAGGTATCATCCTCTTAAACTGCTTGCATTTTTTACAAAATTTCCCATTTTACAATGCGTTTTGGTGGTGTTAAGATGAGATTTTGCCATCTAATTTGGCCTATTGCCATGACAGCAACGTTGAAAGTAGTAAATTTATGTTGACTGTGTAAATGCAGCACATTGGGTCTTGTAGTAAATGTTGTAGAAATTTTAAAGATACAAACAATGAATATTCCTAGCTAGGAGATTGAAAAT